CTCTTGTTCTCCCCCACTTTGCCTATGGGGGTGTGTTAAACTTATATCTGCTATGGTCTATTTAGGCTGTAGTGGGGTAGCTCTTAGAGGGTACAACACTTATGTGTTTCCTACTTGTACCCATCTCATTTTCTAGTTTATGCATTCTTTTCGTCAATCCTTCTCACACAAGGGGCCAAGGGGCCTAGGGGCCGAGGGGCCAAACACGAGGGTGAGAGGCCGAGGGGCCAAGAATAGGGGCCTAGGGGCCGAGGGGCCAAACAAGAGGCCGAAGGGCCGAGGCTAGGGGCTGAGGGGCTGAGGTTGTTAAGTTTAAAAGAGAGAAGAGAGAAGAAGAGGATTGCACTAGCAAGAATGGGGATACAAATAGGAAACCCTAGAAGGGTTGTACTCGCTATAGAGCACCCCACTACAGGCTAGAGCATAAGATAACATTCTGACAGAGGTGCCTGGGGGCCAAGGGGCCAAGGGACCAAGGGGCCGAGCCTAGGGGCCGAGGGGCCGAGGGGTGGGGCCGAGGGGTCAAATAAGAGGCCGAGGGGCCAAACACGAGGGGCCACGAGGGGCCGTGGTGCCTAGGGCCGAGGGGCCTTGGTGCCTAGGGACGAGGGGCCAAGGGGCCTGTTGCCGAGGGGCTAGTGGCCGAGGGGCCAAACACGAGGGGCCACGAGGGGCCGAGGGCCCAGGGGCTGAGGGGCCAGGTGGCGACGGGCCGCGGGGTCTAGTTGGGGGCAAGGGGGCGCGGCTAGGGGCGACGGGGCCAACTGGGCCGAGGGGCGCGGCTAGGGGCGACGGGGCCAACGGGGCCGAGGGGCGCGGCTAGGGGCAACGGGGTCGACTGGGCCAACGGGGCCAACGGGCGCGGCTAGGGGCGACGGGGCCAACGGGGCCGAGGGGCGCGGCTAGGGGCGACGGTTCTAACGGGGCCGAGGCGCGCGGCTAGGGGCGATGGGGCCAACGGGGCCGTGGGGCGCGGCTAGGGGCGACGTGGCCAACGGGGCCGAGGGGCGCGGCTAGGGGCGACGGGGCCAACGAGGCCGAGTGGCGCGGCTAGGGGCGACGGGGCCAACGGGGCCGAGGGGCCGAGCTAGGGGCAGAGACGGGCCGGGGCCTAGGGGCCGTGAGCGTCGGGGCCGAGGGGCCTGGAGCGAAGGGGGGGGGGGCGCGGGGCCGTGAGGTGGCGCGACGGGCCTAGAGGGGGTACTAGCAGCGTAGCAGGTGGTGGGCCCAAGGAACCTGCTCTGATACCATGTCAAAGTAACTAACGAGAATGAATGAACTAGCAAACAGATGGGTACAAGTACTAACCCTAATTGGGTTGTACCCCTTATGGGCTACCCCACTATAGCCTGCATAAATGTATAAGCTATAATGTTCTGACACCCCCCGCACTGGGATGCCCGAGGTGTACACACTGGGATTCGAACTCGAGACTTTCGCTCTGATAGCATGTCAGAATCCCAACGACTTGACCATTGGGATAAATGGGCTTGTTAAGTAGCGGGTCAGTGCGCCCATAACCCCCCAGGACAACGTGCATGTAACCCTTCCCTAGGATAAATCGGGGATCTCTAGTGGACCTCTGACAGCGTCATCTGATAATTCTGTGTACCACCCATGCTTTATTATTGCCTTGACAGCATCAATCACGAAGGAAATTTCCTTACGCAGCATAAAGGGAATCAGCAAGTTTGCGACCGAGCGCAGACCAAAGCCGGCTTCCTTAACCAGATCAATGATCATTTCGTCGTCGGAGTCGTCATCAATGAAACCTTCGTCGTCAGCAAGCCCAACTGAAGGTAACGTAACCTTGTCAGCAGCAGATAATCCAGAACCACCAGCGTCCGACAACACCGCCTTGTCCTTGTCAATGATTGCAGGAGCCTGGATGCCATTGGAGCTATCAACCTCCCTGGGAGATGGCGGGTCTAAAGCAGGACGTGAGCGTTGTCCCTTAGGCAAAACCGGGACATCAGCCGGATGAGACATCGTGCGAGGATGAAGAAAAGCAGGCAGCAGGAGAGCGTGCCGAGCACCCTCAAAGATTGCAGTTGATGCCTGATGACTGAGCACGGAAACTTTAAGTAGTGTCCTGGCCTTGTCACGCTCTAGTAACTCGAGCAATAGGTGGTGTGTTCTCGAGGTTGCGACCTTGGTAGCTTCATTGTTGATAATAGAATAGTTAAAACAGTTGTTGTTGAACAATGTATATGTGTTGAAACCATGACGCAAGACATGATCAGCTGGAAACCCCGGGAATGCCTGATAAACTCCGCGAGTTGTCGCCTTATAACTGGAGAAACCAAGGTCAGCAAAAATGACTGGTATTCCATGTTGATCGTTAAAGACGATATTGTTAACCGAAGCGGAATAATGCGGAAGGCATGCTAACGAGGATGTTTAACGCAGAATCCTTGGCTGCCTAAAGGCGGAGAAGGCGGAGAGCATGGGTGTTACCAAACCGTGAATCATGGGTGACGGCGACAATCTCTGGGTATGTCGGTCATCCCCCTGCTAGTTATCGGCCCCAATTTGATATTTTCCGGTGTGGAATTGTCAGAGAGCAGGTACTACATGCAGTAATGACGACGAGCAGCGTGGATGCGCGTGGTTCATCCTCCCGAACCCATGAACCAGCCCAATACATCTCACTCGGTAGCATCGGTAGCGCTCGTTAGCGCTACCATTTCGCTAGACGACGCTACCGAGTGAGTCAGCATTCTGACCGCGGGCAGAAAAAACTAAAAGCCATTTGGACTGCATGCCATTCGGGAGCCTCAGCCATAAAATTTTAGGGTTGATGCCTCCCGAATGGCATGCCTTCTGAGTGGGTTTTATTGTTTTTCTTGCCCGTTGACTCATTGCACTGCCTGCTGACGCAGGCAGTGCAATATATTATACAGAAACCAGCTGTCGCTTTTTGGTCCTGCTGGCTGGTTTTGAACCGAAACCCTTGCTCGTGAACAGATTTCGTCAAGGCAGACAGCTTGGTGGTGTGCCTTCGATGTGATGTCTGCCTCGCACCAACGAGGAAACTTACCGGGATGCAATGGGGTTATGGGCGACTCTTCTGAAATATCAGAGTGTAGGGTCAGCCACATTTCATTGTTCAATCGCAAAGCGTACGTGGTGAAATCACTCAATTTTAGGGGTGCGAGGCAGTATTGTTATGGATATCGACTTGGGTGGCGAGCCACATACTTGTACCAGGAACTGGCAACGGGGAAACTGAGAGACGAAATTAGATTCGTCGCCAGTCCAAAAAATGCTGCATGCTGCCCTTTCGGGTTTCGTGCTGAATTCATCAAAACAGGAAGCCGAATGGTCTCCGCTTCACAGAAATTGACGACTCTTCCCCTTCCATGGACCCTCTAGATATCGATGCGATTCTCGCGAGGCAGGATACCATACAGATGACTTTTGAGGCGTCTCATAGGTCCTACACACGAATGGACGGCATGACTGCCTCATTCGTGAAGCACCATCTTTGGATGCGGCGTGACAGCAAGCGCATGCACGCTCTCAGAAGCTGGGGTTTCGCGGTACTAGCGGTGAAAGGAGCGGTGAAAGGAAAAGGGACGGCGATAAGAGGCGGTGCCGTGCTGCTGAAGTGTTCTGTGTGTTGAATCTCGTCTTCGAGGAACGCACTTCGCCTTCTTTATCTAGCTGCTCAAAACTGCCGCCAAGCCTCGAGATTCTCCACGCAACCTGTAGTCTTGCGAAAGAATCAATGGCTCCTGCTGGAGAACCTTCGAACAAGCCCGTGATGGGCGGCAGAAGTCAGCCAGGTCTGTCTATCTCAGCCGGTCTCTGCTTGACAAATCTTTTCCGGTTTCCGCGGGCTGAGCTTGGGTAGTCCTTTGAGAAATTCGGGCATGGGCTGCAGTTGCATTTGCTAGTTTATTTTTCTTTAAAGCCGTGGCTTCTTGCTGGTTCCAGGTTCGGAGGAGGACAGGCAACGACTATCCAGGTAGTTCCACCATCTGCCAGCTTACTCTGCGAGAGCTTACTCTGCGTACGCGTGGACACAGAGAGCTTACTCTGCGCACGCGTGGACAAGCAACGACTATCCAGGTAGTTCCACCATCTGCCAGCGCTACCAGGAACACTGATTCACTGTTGTGTGTGAAACCTGCTCATTTGAACTGTGCTGCAGGTTGGACTTTTCCTACAGGCAAAATCTATGTTTTTTCTGCACACCTGAGGTTATTTCGCAAACTACTAGAGTTTGACGGACCAGATTCGACTCAGAAACGGTGTCGCACCCTCGAAGCTCCTTCTCTTTGATGCAGAGGCACCATGATAGTGATGCTGATCTTAGGATCGTAAACACCTTAGTCGGCAATAGTCTACTTGCTATTGCTTATCGTGTTCTCCACGATCTCCCAAATCCAACGATATGCGCAGCTCTGCTTGAAGTTGTCAATACACACTTCAGCAATTTCCAGAATCTGATTGGTTTCAATGTTGTATTTTCCAGAATGAGTACAAGCAGTTTTATAGTCAAGCAAGACACAAAATGCGATTCGTAACTTCACTTGTTTCCCAAGTAACTGCGTGCGCCTCGTTTCACCCCGAGTCGCACACGGAACCGAACCGAATTCGCCGAACACTCCTCGAGTCCGAATCCAGCACCTTCTCGAACACGCCTCAGTCTCGAACCACAATTTCCCCTTGTCAACTCCAATCTCGATACTTCACTCTTCTTCCTCCATTTCTCTAGTTTCTTCCCAATTTCTCTCTTGCTTCTCACGCCGTAGCTTCCATTCTCCACCGTAGGCCGATTTCCACCGTTTCACCTAGAATCATCCACGTGCTTCCATTTCGCCGTCATTCCGCCGTCGTAGAAGCTTTCGCCGTAGGTTCCGTGGTTGGGCGAACCAACCCTAACAGCTGATTCTATCAAAGCTATCTTAATAGTGCTCCGCCTTTGAAATGACTAGCTACGCGTCGCGACCCATCGTTCCCTGTGCGCGCCCTTTTCTCCGTGACCGTTGCGCATGTCCCCCTGCGCGTGCGGCGGGCAGGAGCTCTTGGATATCCGCGCGAGCCGCTCCGAGTGGCTGCGGGAGAGGACTCTTGCGACGGCCGTGGGCGTGCGCATCCGCAACGGCCAGTACACGGACCGCCCCGCCATCCTCGCCTTCGTCTTCTCCAAGGTGCTTCCGCCTCCCCTCGCTCGCCTCCTCCTCTCAGTGCTCCCCTCGCTCCGTTCCTCCTCTCAGTGCTCTCCTCCTCTTCCTTATGCTTAATCTTCCGCCGGCCCCCCGTTCTCGCTTTGCATCCCCTTCTCTCCCCGTCGTTTTCATTTTTTCTCCATCACCGCTGCTTTCCTTCTCTTCCTTACCCACTCCCCTTGTCCAAGCCCCTGCTCCTCCTGCACCCTTCCAACACTCTTCCGCCTCCCTTCCTCCTCCCCCGTCCACTCCTCCGTCCTCCCTCCTTTTCCTCCCTCCTCCCTCCTCCTTCGTCCTCCCCCTTTTTCCTCCCTCCCCGTGTTGCCTCCCTTCTCCCTTTTCCCCCCTCCTTCCCCCTCCTCCCTTCTTCTCCCCCTTCGCCCCTCCTCCTCCCGCGTCCTCATCTCCCCTCCTCCTCCCACATCCCTCGCTTTCCTCCCGCCTCCCCCATCTTTCGCCTTCCTCCTCTCTCTTCCTCCCTCTCCCTCTCCCTCCCCCCTCCTCCCTCCTGCCTCCTCCCACCCCGCTCCTCCCTCCTCCCTCCTCCCTCCTCCCTCCTCCCTCCCTCCTCCCTCCTCCCTCCTCCCTCCTCCCTCCTCCCTCCCTCCTCCCTCCTCCCTCCTCCCTCCTCCCTCCTCCCTCCTCCCTCCTCCCTCCTCCCTCCTCCCTCCTCCTTCCTCCCTCCTCCCTCCTCCCTCCTCCCTCCTCCCTCCTCCGTACTCCCTCCTCTCTCCTCCCCGCTTTCCCTCCCTCTTCCTCCCTCTTCCTCCCTTTTTCCCGCTCCTCCCCCTTCCTCCCCCCTTCTCCCCCTTCCTCCCTCCTAATCCCCTCCCCCCTCCACTGCTCCTTCCCTCTACTTTCGTTCCGCCTGTTCCATCATCCCTCGTGTTTTCTCATCCTGCTGCTCGTCCGTCCTCTTCTTTCCCCAATCCTCCCCCGCGACGGCCTTACGCTCTGCTTTATCCTCCCTTTTCCCTCCCCTTCCCTTCCCTCTCCCTGCTCTTCCCGCCCCTCTCCCTCCCCTCTCCCCCCTCTCCCCCCTGTTCCGCCTCTTCCCCCGCTCTCCCCACTCCCCCTCCCCTTCCACCCCCACCTCAGGTGCATCCTAATTGGCTGCCACCGGATCGCTTGCTGCCTGCACGGTTGGAGGGGGAGGGGTCGCTGTGGTGCGACCTTGACGTGCTCGAGTTCGCCTGCCTGCCTGGCCGCCAGGTATGCTGCTCTGCTCTGCTCTGCTCTGCTCTGCTCTGCTCTGCTCTGCTCTGCCCTGCCCTGCCCTGCCCTGCCCTGCCCTGCCCTGCTCTGCCCTGCCCTGCTCTGCTCTGCTCTGCCTCTGCCCTGCGCTGCCTTGCTCTGCCTCTCCACTGCGCTGCCTGCCTTCCCACCACTGCACGATCGTGTGCTTGTGAGTGATGAGGCACAGCAACGCAGCAGCCACAGCGTGAGTCATTTTTCTTCCCACTTCCCTCCTCCGCTCCTCCACTCTTGATTCGCCCCCCGTGCCACACGCACAGCAGCCGGCAAGGGACAGGGCGAGGGCGGAGGAGGAGAGCAGCGAGCTCGTGGATGACCTGCGCGGCTGCAGTGCCGTGCTGGGCCCCGGCTCCCAGGTGAGGCGGGCTTTAAGGGCGAGCAGGTGAGGCCGGCTTTAAGGGCGAGCAGGTGAGGCGGGCTTTTAAGGCGAGCAGGTGAGGATGGCTGTAAGGCGAGCAGGTGAAGCTCAAAGGCGAGCAGGGGAGCACGTGAAGCTCAAAGGCGAGCAGGGGAGCAGGTGAAGCTCAAAGGCGAGCAGGGGAGCAGGTGAAGCTCAAAGGCGAGCAGGGGAGCAGGTGAAGCTCAAAGGCGAGCAGGGGAGCAGGTGAAGGCTGCAGCGTGGTGCTGGGACCCCGCTCGCAGTTGTGGAGGCTCGCAGGTGAGGAGGGCTTTAAGGCGAGCAGGTGAGGAGGGCTTTGAGGCGAGCAGATGAGGAGGGCTTTAAGGCGAGCAAGTGAGGAGGGCTTTAAGGCCAGCAGGTGAGGAGTGCTTTAAGGCCAGCAGGTGAGGAGGGCTTTAAGCCCAGCAGGTGAGGAGTGCTTTAAGGCCAGCAGGTGAGGAGGGCTTTAAGGCCAGCAGGTGAGGGCTGCAGTGCTGTGCTGCGGCCTTGCTCGCAGGTAAGGAGGCTGTAAAGCCAACAGGTGGGGGTGTTCAAAGGCGAGCAGGTGGGTGGAGGGGGCTTGAAAGTAGACCTGGGCGTCGGTGCGAGTTACTCGCCTCGACTCGTCCAAGTTACTCGTATAAGGGCGAGTAACGAGTTTGTTCTTTGGTTGGACTGGCTTGCCCGAGGCGACGCGAGTTTTACTTGGCGAAATTGCTGTACTCACCGAGTACTCGGGGACCCTGGGCTACCCCGGACTCCGCTGTACTTCCCTGGGCTACCCTGGACTCCGCTGTACTTCCCTGGGCTACCCTGGACTCCGCTGTACTTCCCTGGGCTACCCTGGACTCCGCTGTACTTCCCTGGGCTACCCTGGACTCCGCTGTACTTCCCTGGGCTACCCTGGACTCCGCTGTACTTCCCTGGGCTACCCTGGACTCCGCTGTACTTCCCTGGGCTACCCTGGACTCCGCTGTACTTCCCTGGGCTACCCTGGACTCCGCTGTACTTCCCTGGGCTACCCTGGACTCCGCTGTACTTCCCTGGGCTACCCTGGACCCCGCTGTACTTCCCTGGGCTACCCTGGACTCCGCTGTACTTCCCTGGGCTACCCTGGACCCCGCTGTACTACCCTGGGCTACCCTGGACTCCGCTGTACTTCCCTGGGCTACCCTGGACTCCGCTGTACTTCCCTGGGCTACCCTGGACTCCGCTGTACTTCCCTGGGCTACCCCGGATTCCGCTGTACTTCCCTGGGCTACCCTGGACCCCGCTGTACTACCCTGGGCTACCCTGGACTCCGCTGTACTTCCCTGGGCTACCCTGGACCCCGCTGTACTTCCCTGGGCTACCCTGGACCCCGCTGTACTTCCCTGGGCTACCCTGGACTCCGCTGTACTTCCCTGGGCTACCCTGGACCCCGCTGTACTTCCCTAGGCTACCCCGGACTCCGCTGTACTTCCCTGGGCTACCCTGGACTCCGCTGTACTTCCCTGGGCTACCCTGGACTCCGCTGTACTACCCTGGGCTACCCTGGACTCCGCTGTACTTCCCTGGGCTACCCTGGACTCCGCTGTACTTCCCTGGGCTACCCTGGACTCCGCTGTTCTTCCCTGGGCTACCCTGGACTCCGCTGTTCTTCCCTGGGCTACCCTGGACTCCGCTGTTCTTCCCTGGGCTACCCTGGACTCCGCTGTTCTTCCCTGGGCTACCCTGGACTCCGCTGTACTTCCCTGGGCTACCCTGGACCCCGCTGTACTACCCTGGGCTACCCTGGACTCCGCTGTACTTCCCTGGGCTACCCTGGACTCCGCTGTACTTCCCTGGGCTACCCTGGATTCCGCTGTACTTCCCTGGGCTACCCTGGACTCCGCTGTACTTCCCTGGGCTACCCTGGACTCCGCTGTACTTCCCTGGGCTACCCCGGATTCCGCTGTACTTCCCTGGGCTACCCTGGACTCCGCTGTTCTTCCCTGGGCTACCCTGGACTCCGCTGTACTTCCCTAGGCTACCCTGGACTCCGCTGTTCTTCCCTGGGCTACCCTGGACTCCGCTGTACTTCCCTGGGCTACCCCGGATTCCGCTGTACTTCCCTGGGCTACCCTGGACTCCGCTGTTCTTCCCTGGGCTACCCTGGATTCCGCTGTACTTCCCTGGGCTACCCTGGACCCCGCTGTTCTTCCCTAGGCTACCCTGGACTCCGCTGTACTTCCCTGGGCTACCCTGGACTCCGCTGTACTTCCCTGGGCTACCCTGGACTCCGCTGTACTACCCTGGGCTACCCTGGACTCCGCTGTACTTCCCTGGGCTACCCTGGACTCCGCTGTACTTCCCTGGGCTACCCTGGACTCCGCTGTACTTCCCTGGGCTACCCTGGACTCCGCTGTACTTCCCTGGACTACCCTGGACTCCGCTGTACTTCCCTGGGCTACCCTGGACTCCGCTGTACTTCCCTGGGCTACCCTGGACCCCGCTGTACTTCCCTGGGCTACCCTGGACTCCGCTGTACTTCCCTGGGCTACCCTGGACTCCGCTGTACTTCCCTGGGCTACCCTGGACTCCGCTGTACTTCCCTGGGCTACCCTGGACTCCGCTGTACTTCCCTGGGCTACCCTGGACTCCGCTGTACTTCCCTGGGCTACCCTGGACTCCGCTGTACTTCCCTGGGCTACCCTGGACTCCGCTGTACTTCCCTGGGCTACCCTGGACTCCGCTGTACTTCCCTGGGCTACCCTGGACCCCGCTGTACTTCCCTGGGCTACCCTGGACTCCGCTGTACTTCCCTGGGCTACCCTGGACCCCGCTGTACTACCCTGGGCTACCCTGGACTCCGCTGTACTTCCCTGGGCTACCCTGGACTCCGCTGTACTTCCCTGGGCTACCCTGGACTCCGCTGTACTTCCCTGGGCTACCCCGGATTCCGCTGTACTTCCCTGGGCTACCCTGGACCCCGCTGTACTACCCTGGGCTACCCTGGACTCCGCTGTACTTCCCTGGGCTACCCTGGACCCCGCTGTACTTCCCTGGGCTACCCTGGACTCCGCTGTACTTCCCTGGGCTACCCTGGACTCCGCTGTACTTCCCTGGGCTACCCTGGACCCCGCTGTACTTCCCTGGGCTACCCTGGACTCCGCTGTACTTCCCTGGGCTACCCTGGACTCCGCTGTACTTCCCTGGGCTACCCTGGAATCCGCTGTACTACCCTGGGCTACCCTGGACTCCGCTGTACTTCCCTGGGCTACCCTGGACTCCGCTGTACTTCCCTGGGCTACCCTGGACTCCGCTGTTCTTCCCTGGGCTACCCTGGACTCCGCTGTTCTTCCCTGGGCTACCCTGGACTCCGCTGTACTTCCCTAGGCTACCCCGGACTCCGCTGTACTTCCCTGGGCTACCCTGGACTCCGCTGTACTTCCCTGGGCTACCCTGGACTCCGCTGTACTTCCCTGGGCTACCCTGGACTCCGCTGTACTTCCCTGGGCTACCCTGGACTCTGCTGTACTTCCCTGGGCTACCCTGGACTCCGCTGTACTTCCCTGGGCTACCCTGGACTCCGCTGTACTTCCCTGGGCTACCCTGGACTCCGCTGTACTTCCCTGGGCTACCCTGGACTCCGCTGTACTTCCCTGGGCTACCCTGGACTCCGCTGTACTTCCCTGGGCTACCCTGGACTCCGCTGTACTTCCCTGGGCTACCCTGGACTCCGCTGTACTTCCCTGGGCTACCCTGGACTCCGCTGTACTTCCCTGGGCTACCCTGGACTCCGCTGTACTTCCCTGGGCTACCCTGGACTCCGCTGTACTTCCCTGGGCTACCCTGGACTCCGCTGTACTTCCCTGGGCTACCCTGGACCCCGCTGTACTTCCCTGGGCTACCCTGGACTCCGCTGTACTTCCCTGGGCTACCCTGGACCCCGCTGTACTACCCTGGGCTACCCTGGACTCCGCTGTACTTCCCTGGGCTACCCTGGACTCCGCTGTACTTCCCTGGGCTACCCTGGACTCCGCTGTACTTCCCTGGGCTACCCCGGATTCCGCTGTACTTCCCTGGGCTACCCTGGACCCCGCTGTACTACCCTGGGCTACCCTGGACTCCGCTGTACTTCCCTGGGCTACCCTGGACCCCGCTGTACTTCCCTGGGCTACCCTGGACTCCGCTGTACTTCCCTGGGCTACCCTGGACTCCGCTGTACTTCCCTGGGCTACCCTGGACCCCGCTGTACTTCCCTGGGCTACCCTGGACTCCGCTGTACTTCCCTGGGCTACCCTGGACTCCGCTGTACTTCCCTGGGCTACCCTGGAATCCGCTGTACTACCCTGGGCTACCCTGGACTCCGCTGTACTTCCCTGGGCTACCCTGGACTCCGCTGTACTTCCCTGGGCTACCCTGGACTCCGCTGTTCTTCCCTGGGCTACCCTGGACTCCGCTGTTCTTCCCTGGGCTACCCTGGACTCCGCTGTACTTCCCTAGGCTACCCCGGACTCCGCTGTACTTCCCTGGGCTACCCTGGACTCCGCTGTACTTCCCTGGGCTACCCTGGACTCCGCTGTACTTCCCTGGGCTACCCTGGACTCCGCTGTACTTCCCTGGGCTACCCTGGACTCTGCTGTACTTCCCTGGGCTACCCTGGACTCCGCTGTACTTCCCTGGGCTACCCTGGACTCCGCTGTACTTCCCTGGGCTACCCTGGACTCCGCTGTACTTCCCTGGGCTACCCTGGACTCCGCTGTACTTTCCTGGGCTACCCTGGACTCCGCTGTACTTCCCTGGGCTACCCTGGACTCCGCTGTACTTCCCTGGGCTACCCTGGACTCCGCTGTACTTCCCTGGGCTACCCTGGACCCCGCTGTACTTCCCTGGGCTACCCTGGACTCCGCTGTACTTCCCTGGGCTACCCTGGACCCCGCTGTACTACCCTGGGCTACCCTGGACTCCGCTGTACTTCCCTGGGCTACCCTGGACTCCGCTGTACTTCCCTAGGCTACCCCGGACTCCGCTGTACTTCCCTGGGCTACCCTGGACTCCGCTGTACTTCCCTGGGCTACCCTGGACTCCGCTGTACTTCCCTGGGCTACCCTGGACGCCGCTGTACTTCCCTGGGCTACCCTGGACTCTGCTGTACTTCCCTGGGCTACCCTGGACTCCGCTGTACTTCCCTGGGCTACCCTGGACTCCGCTGTACTTCCCTGGGCTACCCTGGACTCCGCTGTACTTCCCTGGGCTACCCTGGACTCCGCTGTACTTTCCTGGGCTACCCTGGACTCCGCTGTACTTCCCTGGGCTACCCTGGACTCCGCTGTACTTCCCTGGGCTACCCTGGACTCCGCTGTACTTCCCTGGGCTACCCCGGACTCCGCTGAACTTCCCTGGGCTACCCCGGACTCCGCTGTACTTCCCTGGGCTACCCTGGACTCCGCTGTACTTCCCTGGGCTACCCTGGACTCCGCTGTACTTCCCTGGGCTACCCTGGACTCCGCTGTACTTCCCTGGGCTACCCTGGACTCCGCTGTACTTCCCTGGGCTACCCTGGACTCTGCTGTTCTTCCCTGGGCTACCCTGGACTCCGCTGTACTTCCCTAGGCTACCCCGGACTCCGCTGTACTTCCCTGGGCTACCCTGGACTCCGCTGTACTTCCCTGGGCTACCCTGGACTCCGCTGTACTTCCCTGGCTACCCTGGACTCCGCTGTACTTCCCTGGGCTACCCTGGACTCTGCTGTACTTCCCTGGGCTACCCTGGACTCCGCTGTACTTCCCTGGGCTACCCTGGACCCCGCTGTACTACCCTGGGCTACCCTGGACTCCGCTGTACTTCCCTGGGCTACCCTGGACCCCGCTGTACTTCCCTGGGCTACCCTGGACTCCGCTGTACTTCCCTGGGCTACCCTGGACTCCGCTGTACTTCTCTGGGCTACCCTGGACTCCGCTGTACTTCCCTGGGCTACCCTGGACTCCGCTGTACTTCCCTGGGCTACCCTGGACTCTGCTGTACTTCCCTGGGCTACCCTGGACTCCGCTGTACTTCCCTGGGCTACCCTGGACTCCGCTGTTCTTCCCTGGGCTACCCTGGGCTTCACTGGGGTTTCATGCAGGGGCAGATTTGCAGTTACAGGCCAGCAACAGCGAGCATTACTCGGACTCGGACGAGCATTCAGAAATGCTCGTCCGAGTTTTTGAAAAGCTAGGCTAAAACGGCGAGCAACAATCATGCAATGTAGCAAAATTTTCTCGTCCGAGTTTTGCTCGACTCGTCACTTTGCACAGGCCTACTTGAAAGGCGAACAGGTGAGGAGGAGGGCTTATAAAAGGCGAGCAGGTGGGGAACCTGAATTTGTGGCCTTGTTTCGTGCCCGCACCCCAATCACCTGGCACCTTGTCATGGTCGTCCATCCATCCACATCTGTTTCCTCCCTTCCCATCCCACGCTCCCCCCTCACACCTGCATGTGCCCGACCCGCCACTCCTCCTCCCATGCACCTGCTTCCGTTCCATCCAGCTGGCCTGCGATGGCACCTTTTTCACCATCGCCCCCTCTGCTCCTCTCCCCCCCACCCCATTTCGCCCTTGCACGTGCCGCCTCTGCCGCACCCCTGCATGTGCCGCGTGCGTCCACTCCGCCCATCATCCACATGCTTTTATCCATGGCACGTGCCACGATACATTCGTCACCGCCCCTCTGCTCCTCCCCACCACACCCGCCCATCAATCGCCCCACATCTCCCCTGCGGTGTCTTGTCGCACCGCACCACCCTCACAGTCCTTATCAAATGCGCCAGGTGGCATGCGATGACACTTTGGTCACCATGGGTTTCTCTGCTCTTCTCCCCCCTCCCCACCCCATCGCATTGCCCCTGCCTCTGTCTCGCTCACCCCTCTCCACACCCCCCTCTCATCATCTACCTGCTTTTATCCAGGTGGCATGCGACGACACTTTCGTCACCATGGGCCCCATCGTCGTCGACAGCTCAGCGCCACATCAGCTCGGCTTTCTCACCAACTGCCACGTGGCAGGCACCTCTCCAGAGATGTCGGAGGGGCGCTGCCTCTACCACCCACACTGCCCGAGCCTCGGCCCCGGCGTGCCTATCAGGGAGGTTCGGCGCGTCGTGTCCTTCCGAAGTGACCTGGAGTGGTTCGGGTTTTACATCAACCACCAGCCTGGTGCGCTGGGGAGGGGAGTTGAATGGGGGAGACGAATGGGGGAGACGAATGGGGGAGACGAACGGGGGAGACGAATGGGGGAGAGGGGGGGTGTGGGCGGAAGGGTTAAGGGGGAGGTGACCTTTGAGTTGACTCACAAGTGGCTTTGGGTAGCGACCTGGAGTGGTTCGGGTTTTACATCAACCACCAGCCTGGTGCGTTGGGGAGGGGAAACCAGGGGCGGGAAGGAGGGTAGGGAAACGGTGGGGGCGGCATGGGGGGGAAACGGGGGGGCATGGGGGTTGGGCAAGGGAAGGTGAGGTGCATAGGGGGGGGGGAAAGAAGGAAGGGGGGAGGGGATTGGGGAAGGGGGGAGGATGGGGGCATGGTTGGAAGGTGGGGGGCATGGGGGGGAAGGTGGGGGGCATGGGGGGGAAGGTGGGGGGCATGGGGGGGAAGGTGGGGGGCATGGGGTGGAAGGTGGGGGGGCAGTTTGCCACCTGCACCCCGGCCATCCACAACCAGCCCAGGCCAGGCCAGGCCAGCCCAGCCCAGGCGAGCCCAGGCCAGCTTATCTCAGGTCAGCGTAGCCCACCCTGAGAACCAGGCTCATTGGCACGGCATCCGTTCCCTTTCCTCCTCCACGCCCCTCCCTTCTCCTGTCCTCCTCTTCCCTCTGCCCCCCGTGCAGGGCAGACATCAGGGTGCGTGTGGACACGGGGCGTTTGTCGCCTTCACATCGGCCATCCACGCCCACCACATCACAGCGCACCCACGCGGCCTGCCCCCCACGCGGCCTGCCGCACAGTGCAGACCAGCTCACGCCCCTTGCGCCTGCTCTCCTCCCCACACACACCCTCTTTCGTGCAGTCATCAGGGTGCGCACGGACTGGGCGTTTCCCCCTTCACCCCCACCATCCATGCGCATCACAGCACAGCACAGCAAAGCACAGCACAGCACAGCACAGCACAGCACAGCACAGCACAGCACAGCACAGCACAGCACAGCACAGCACAGCACAGCACAGCACAGCACAGCACAGCACAGCACAGCACAGCACAGCACAGCACAGCACAGCACATCCCATCCCACCCCAGACAGTGAAGCCCAGCCTTTCCTTTCCCCGATTACCCCCCTTTTCCTGCCCTCTTTCCCCCGTGCAGACATCAGGGTGCGTGTGGACGGGGCATTCGCTGCCTTCACATCGGCCATCCACCCGCACCACATTACAGCGCACCCACGCGGCCTGCCGCCTGGCGCAGTGGGCGCGATGCTGCAGATCCTTCCCGCATGGCCCGTCTCCGCCCTCGTCTCGCAGCAGGTGGGCTCTTGTCGTCCACTCGGTTGAATTCTTTCTTTCTCTCTTCCTCCCTCCCTCCCTCCCTCCCTCCCTCCCTCCCTCCCTCCCTCCCTCCCTCCCTCCCTCCCTCCCTCCCTCCCTCCCTCCCTCCCTCCCTCCCTCCCTTCCTCCCTCCCTCCGGAGGGCTTCCCATGTCGCCCAAGTAGGCTTCCCATGTCGCCCAAGTGGGCTTCCCATGTCGCCTAAGGTGGGTGCGCACATTCACCATCGAGCCCACTGATCGCCCTCTCAGACCAGCCACCGGTCATGCACTCGCCCTCTCAGACCAGCCACCGGTCATCCTCCCACAGTGATGCACTCGCCCGTCCCATTCCGCATTCACTTGTCCCCTACCTCCCTCTCGCCTCCCCCCAGGTGGCGAAGGTGGGGCGTCACGTAGCTCAGGCGTCACGCGTGGCACGGTGATGGGGTATGCCGTGGAGTGGAGTACTGTGTCCACTGCAAGCACGCCTTCAAGCCACTGTCTCCGCTCGCCCTCCCTTCGATCTCCCCCTTGCCCCATACCCTTCTTCTTCCGCGTCTTCTTCCCCCCTTCACCCCTGCTGCTGCCTCCCCCCCCTCTCCTACACAGGTAGCAAAGGTGGGGCGCAGCTCGGGTGTGACACAAGGAACGGTGATGGCGTATGCCGTGGAGTATTATGTTGACAGCAAGCGCGCCTTTGACTCTGACCTCCTCATCCGCAGCTCCACCAAGTGCGCTCTCCTCCTCTCCCTCCTCCAACGAGGTGCGCTCTCCTCCTCTCCCTCCTCCAACGAGGTGCGCTCTCCTCCTCTCCCTCCTCCACCGAGGTGCGCTCTCCTCCTCTCCCTCCTCCAGCGAGGTACGCTCTCCTCCTTTCCCTCCTCCAACGAGGTGCGCTCTCCTCCTCTCCCTCCTCCACTGAGGTGCGCTCTCCTCCTCTCCCTTCTCCAACGAGGTGCGCTCTCCTCCTCTCCCTCCTCCACCGAGGTGCGCTCTCCTCCTCTCCCTCCTCCAACGAGGTGCGCTCTCCTCCTCTCCCTCCTCCAATGAGGTGCGCTCTCCTCCTCTCCCTCCTCCAACGAGGTGCGCTCTCCTCCTCTCCCTCCTCCACAGAGTACTATGTTGACAGCAAGCACGCCTTCGCCTCTCCTCCCCTCCACCCTCTGCTCCCTCCCTCCCCTCCTCCCTCTGCTCCCTCCCTCCTCTCCACCCTCTGCTCCCTCCCTCCCCTCCTCCCTCTGCTCCCTCCCTCCTCTCCACCCTCTGCTCCCTCCCTCCTCTCCTCCCTCTGCTCCCTCCCTCCTCTTTTCCCTCTGCTCCCTCCTCTGCTCCTTCCGCTGCTCCCTCCCTCTGCTCCTTCCTCTCCTCCTTCCTCTCCTCCTTCCTCTGCTCCTACCGCTGCTCATTCCGCTGCTCGCTCCTTTTTCTCCTTCCGCTGCTCCCTCCCTCTGCTCCTTCCTCTCCTCCTTCCTCTCCTCCTTCCTCTGCTCCTACCGCTGCTCATTCCGCTGCTCGCTCCTTTTTCTCCTTCCACTGCTCCCTCCCTCTGCTCCTTCCTCTCCTCCTTCCTCTCCTTCTTCCTCTGCTCCTACCGCTGCTCATTCCGCTGCTCGCTCATTTTTCTCCCTCCGCTGCTCCCCCCTCTGCTCCCTCCGCTGCTCCCTCTTCTCACCACCCATTCTCGCCCTGTTCCGCCCCTCCCCTCCCCCTCCTCCCGTCCGCCAGGCCCCATTCGACCTGGAGGGCGATGCAGGCAGCACGGTGTACCTGCTGCAAACGGGGAGGGGAGTGGAGGACGAAAGGGGAGGAGCAGGACAGGGGAGTGCGCGAGTAGGGGAGCGGAGGAGGGGAGAGGCGGCAGGTAGTGGAAGCATGTTACCCCAGGGCAGGGGGCCAAGTTCAGCAGCAGCGGGGTTAGGAGGAGGAGCAGCAGCAGGAGCAACAGGAGCATTAAGATCAACAGAGGTAACAGAATCAGCAGGAGCAGCAGGAGCTGAAGCGGCAGAAGGAGCAGCAGGAGTGGAAGAGAGGGGCCAGTATCCTGCACAGGAGGACGGGTGTGAGCACAGGGAGGAGGCACACGGCAGAGGAACAGTAGGCGGGGCAGGCTCGCAAGGGGGCAGGAGTGGAGACGGCGAGGGAGAGGGGGGTGCAGCAGTGAGTGGTGGAAGCAGGGGGCAGCAGTCTGCTAGTGGTGGTGCTGAGGGAGAGGGCAGCAGGAGGGGAGGAGAGGGGGCTGGTGGGGTGAGCAGCAGAGGAGAGGGACAGGGAGCAGTGAGGGATGGAGAGGAGGGAGAGGGAGCAGTGGCAGGAGCAGATGTTGCAGCTGGAGAGCACACAGCAGAGCTGGAAGATCGGAGAGGAGGAGTAGGAAGCAGGGCGGAAGCTAGAGCGCCAGGCGGCGATGCAGCAGAAAGTGAGGGTCAGGGCGGCAAGTGGCGGCCGCTTGCACTGGTGTGGGGCGGCACGGGGCGGCACGGGAGGGTGACGAGGTGGAGTGGCAAGCACCCCGAGTACTGGACGACTGCTGTGGACCTTCATCGCCTCATGACCCACCTCCATGTCTCCCCTGCTCCCCCCGGCCGTACCCGCGATGGCGGCGAGTTGGAGGGGCAGGGGGAGGAGGGTGGAGGGGTGCGGGGCAGGGCGGAGGGGGAGGGGAGGGGGAGTACTGATGGGAGTGAGAGGGAGGTGGAGGATGGTGTTGCAGACTTGTAGCGGAGGTGCTGTGTTTGCCACTGCTGCTGCCGTTGAGGTAAGTGTGGCTGGTCAAGCCTTTTGAAGGGTGTCATTTGGAGAAGCTCACTGCCCTGTCTATAGGGAAGTTTTGTGTATATTACAGCTTTAAGGGGTACCAATATCCTTTCTAATGTCCACCTTTGGGCGGGTGTATAAAACACTAGGCTCACATGTGGGTTGTCTTGTATAGCTGTGTGTTTTGTAGTTCAATATACCAGTATTTTCCTTGTTTCCATTGCAGTCTTTGTTGCACTGAATGGAAATCATTTTCTCGTTAAATGAGTGAAACTGTAAGGAAATTTCCTTTTCCTTACTTCGCGCACCTGCTTACCGCGTACACGACTGTTCCCGCCAACGGCACCCAATAGTGAAACGTTACCTGCTCGCAACACTCGCCTCGACTACTGTTCCTGCCACTGTTCACGACGCGACCCAACCTCGTGGTTCGGTTGGTAACCCGCGCTTCGGACCTCCGCCTCGACATTTCCCAACCTCGGCGCTATGCCCGTAGCGCACCCCATTTTCTCGCGTTACCGTTACCACGCTAGCTTCGCTATATTTTGTTCGCTCATTCCCTCGCTCATTGTATTGTTTTGCTTCGATAGTGCAATTCTCGCTCGCTCGCTCAATTGCACTTGTTACACTTGATATCAGAGCCTACAATCTCCTCTCGGATCGCACCCACACATTCGCTTCCCCACTATCTCATTTTTTGGAGGGGGTCGACATCTCTCAGTGCCCAAGCACCGCCGCGCGAGTGCTCTCTCGAAAGCACGCACGGCCACGACAGGAGCTCTCACTGAGCTTGCCCGACGACCCCGCCATGGCCAAATTTCATTTCCCAGCACTGACGCAGGAACGCCTCAATCAACTCGTGCGCCAACTCGAGGAATCGGCACTCGAAATCGCGACGCTTACAGCGGAACGCGACTCCGCCCGACAGCAATCAACAGCAAATGCACCCGCCAATGCACCTGTGCAATCGGATGAGCCATTGTCATTTCGTTCGGCACACCATCACATCACGACAGCGTGGGACAGCGCTCAGGCGCAGCCAGTGATGGCGCCACCCAATCGATGCCTGGCATGGAGAGGAACAGGGTCATGCCAAGTGCGAATGCATCTTGCAAAGCCCGGCGTCACGTCGAATTTGCAGCGACTGTCGGCAACGAGGACATTGGCGCACCAATGCCACTCAAACCACAGCACCTGCCCTGTTTCGATCCTAGCCAACGCGGAGGTCCGACTGTTCAATCGTGGGTCTTCACGATGAACGTCTTCTTTGACGCTAATTACGTCACGTCTGACGCAACGAAGATACGATACGCCGTTTTGCTGCTGAGGGACCCCGCCATGGACTGGTGACGAGTCATCATGACGTCGCCACGTGCCTACGAGCTGCCGTCGCAAGAGGAAGGGCCCACGGGGCCAGCCGTCACCTGGAGTTCGTTCTGCGAAACCACCCAGTACAACACGTGGGACGCGTGGTGCGCAGGGATTCGGGCGCGCTTCGAGCCGTTCGCGGCTTCTATTTCGGCGCGTCAGAGACTGTGCACTTGGCGACAGCTTGGGTCGGTCCAAGATTTTACGAGCGGTTTTCTCGCACTATGCAAGCAAGTCGGTTACATGCACGAGGCGGAGCGGGTGGACCGTTACGTCGGAGCGCTGAAGCCGGACATCTCGCACGAAATCATGCTACGCGGGCTATCTAATTTCAACGAAATCCTCGCGCTCGCCGAGAAAATTGACATTTTGCGCTATCTGAGACCGGGGTCCTACTACGTACATCGTCCTCGGGGGCCGACCGAGCACGCCACCGTATATGCCGTTGCGGCAAACGCAGCTGCTGCACCGTTCAAGGGGCGCTGCTTCGTTTGCAACAGGCCGGGCCATCGTAATTGTGAGTGCCGTCGCGGCCCCTGCTACTGTTGCGGCCTCAAGCCGTCGCGGCCCCTGCTGTCGCGGCCCCAAGCCGTCGCGGCCCCTGCCGTCGCCGCCCCTGCTATCGCGGCCACTGCTACCGCGGCCCCAGCTGTCGCGGCCACCTGCTATCGCGGCCCCTGCTGTCGCGGCCTGCTACTGTCACCGCCCCTGCTGTCGCGGCCCCCTGCTGAGGCGGCCCCCTGCTGTCGCGACCACCTGCTATCGCGGCCCCTGCTGTCGCCGCCCCTACTGGCGCGGCCCCTGCTGACGCGGCCCCTGCTGTTACGGCCCCCTGCTGTCGCGGCCCCTGCCGTTGCCGCCCCTACTGGCGCGGCCCCCTTCTGTAACGGCCCCTGCTGACGCGGCCCCTGCTGTCGCGCGCCCAGCTGTAGGGGCCCCTGCTATCAGGGCCCGGCCCTGCACCCGCCACTGGTAAGCATCCGCGCCGCCCTGCTGCGCCATGCCGCCAGTTGCCGAGCCGCGCCGCCCAGCCGAGCCGCACCGCCCTACCGAGCCGCGCCGCCCTACCGAGCCGCGCCGCCCTACCGAGCCGCGCCGCACTACTGAGCCGCACTGCCCTGCCTGCCCTACTGCCTCTGCTGCTCCTGCTGCTACTGCTCCTACTGCTGCTATGGCTAGCCCTACTGTTCTCACCTTTGATGCTGAGGGGCGTGCAGTTGACTTTGACGTGTGGGTTGACGACCTGCAGCTCTTTCTTCAGTGTGACTCTAGGGATGGGGTATCCCTTTTCGATCACACGTCCGGTGTCTCTACTGCTCCTGCTGCCACTGCTGACAGTACGGTTCGCTCGAAGTGGACCACTCGTGACGCTGTTGCTCGTCTTGCTGTTCGTAGTCACCTGCCGCCTGCTGAGCGCGCACACTTTGGCCAGTACAAGACTGCTCAGTCTTTGTACGACGCTGTAGTTGCGCGCTACTCCTCCCCTGCCACTGCTGCCCTCAGCCGCCTCATGCTGCCGTACCTTTTCCCTGACCTTGCCGCCTTTGCCACAGTTGCTGACCTCATTACTCACCTCCGCACTAGTGACGCCCGCTACCGCGCTGCCCTTCCCACTGATTTATGTGCCAAGAACCCCCCCCCCATGTACATCACCCTTTACTACCTAGTCACCCGCCTCCCTGACTCCTTTCCTTCAGTCAGGGACCACTTTCTCTCCCTTTGCCCCACCGAGCTCACTGTCGACCTGCTAGAGGAGTGCCTCGCTGAAGCTGAGAAGAGTATCTTAGCTGTAGGTGCTTCTCGCGGCGACCATGGCACCCCTTTCTTTGAGGGGTGTTCCCCTGTCCCCCTTCTCCCCTCTGTTGCTTCTGCTGCTGCTGTCGACCTCGTTGGCACTGAGGAGGTCGGAGCTACGTCTGCCCCTAGTGGGAGACGCCGCAACAGCAGTGGCAAGGGGAGCAAGGGTGGTGGAGGGGACGGCGGGGGCGGCGGCGGAGGTGGTGGAGGAGGCGGAGGGGGTGGCGGTGGAGGTGGGGGTGGTGCCGGGAGTGGGGGCTTCGGTGGCGGCGGTGGAGGTGGTGGAGGCAGCGGCGGAGGTGGTGGAGGCAGCGGCAGCGGTGGTGGAGGTGGCGGCGGTGGTGCTGGTCGAGGTGCAGCCGCGCAGCGTGGAGGCTTTGGTGGTAGCCGGCACCAGCAGCAGCCGCGTTCCCGTGAGACCCCGTCGGCCCAGCAGCTTTGTGAGTGGTACGCTGGGCGTGGGAGGTCTGGGGGTACTGGTCCCTGCACTTACGTTCTTCGCACCGGCAGTCGTCGTGGGGAGACGTGCGGGCTGCCACACACTTTGCAGCGCTGCTTTGGTCGCCTGACTGACGCCTGGCGTGCCCAGTTTCCTGGCGCGGTTGAGCTCCCTCGCTGGCATGATCTGCTTAGGCAGAATGTGGCTATCTTTGATCTTGATTTCGATGCTATCCTTGCTGCCATGTATGCTTTGACTGATAGTGCTGAGGGTGACTACTACCTGAGTGTCCCGCCCAACCCGGGCATTGAGGCTGCTGCTCTAGGTGCTAGTGCGTCTGCTGCTCCAGGTACTGGTGAGTCTGCTGCTCCAGGTGCTGGTGAATCTGCTCTCTCTGGTACTGCACCTACTGCGGCCTTACACACTTTCACACTTGACTCTGGTGCTTCGCGCTCTTTCTTTAGAGACAGCACCACACTCACGCCGCTCAGTCGGCCTGTCGCAGTCTCCCTGGCTGACCCCTCTGGGGGCCTAGTCCTTGCGCACTCTTCCACGGTTCTACCGTGCCCTGCGGCCCCGTCGGGCTTGCTGTCGGGACTCCACCTCCCCTCGTTCTCTACGAACCTGGTGAGTGGAGCTGACCTCCAGGACGCGTGGGTTGACCTGTTCACCCCTGGAGGTCAGCGTGTGACCCACTGCACTTGCTCTCGGACGGGCCGCCACCTGGCCACGTTCACCCGTCGGCCTGGGTCGAGTCTCTACACACTGACTACTGCGCCTCCTCCGGTCTCTGTGTCTGGTCAGGTAGCTGCGTCTAGTCAGGTGTTTGCTGCCGCGTCCAGGTCTAGTCCTGCGTCTGCACCCTGCTCGTGTCGTCCTCTGTCACACGAGACTCTCCTTTGGCACCACCGCCTTGGTCACCCCTCCCTGCCTCGTCTTCGAGGTATGGCCTCCCGTACCCTTGTCTCGGGTCTACCCCGGTCCCTCCCTCCCCTTCCTCCGGGGCCTGCCCCCACCTGTGTTCCTTGTGTCGAGGGCCGGCAGTGCGCCGCTCCTCACTCCTCCTCGTTCCCTCCGACCGAGGCTCCCCTGCAGACTCTTCACATGGACGTGTGGGGCCCAGCTTGCGTCCGTGGACAGGGTCACGAGCGTTACTTCCTGCTGGTCGTTGACGACTACTCGCGTTACACCTCAGTCTTCCCCTTGCGCAGCAAGGGTGACGTCACTGAGGTGTTGATCGACTTGATCCGCGGTGCCCGTCGCCAGCTGAGCGAGAGTTTCGGCTTTGACCTTCTTGTTTTGCGTCTGCACTCCGACAGAGGTGGTGAGTTTTCCTCAGACCTCCTGAGGGCCTTCTGTC